CTTCACCTTGACGTTCGTGACCGGGACCGTGAGCTTCATGCAGAGGATCTTGTAGCCGAGGAAGAGGGCGCCAACGGTGATGAGGAAGGTCAGCAAGAACACGCCCTCAACCAGGTAATCTGTGAAGCGAAAGCCATGGAAGTCCTCGAAGTTGCACGGCCCTTGCCAGCAAACACTTCCCACACTGTCCTCTGGCCCACACTTGGAACTGTCGCTGCTTGTCCCAACATGCCCTTGATGTTCTTGGCGATCTTGGTGGCCTCATGGGAAAATGTGGTGAGCTTGCCCTTGGGGAGACTCCGCACAATATAGCCCACATCACTGGAAAGAACCGCAAAAACACTGTCGTCTGCTGTCGCTGTTGCTCGGTTGTTGTGGCTGTCGTGGTTTGCTGGGGCGTTGCGGCGGTTGTCGTGCTTTGCTGTGGTTGCTGTCAAGGTGTTGTGGCGGTTGTCGTGGTTTGCTGTGGTTGTGGCCTGCGTGTTGTCTTCGCCGCCACTGGCAACCTCCACCAAGTCACTAAAACGAACCGGTGGAGTGAAGGAGCTTGCTCCAATCCCCTTTCCGTGGCCTTGCTTGCTCGCAGCCTCCAAGCTGCTATTCCCCACATGGCCATCCAAGTCACCATCGGTGAGGTCATCCTTGCCCACGGCGTTGCAAAGGGCATTGTCGGCGACGTCCACGGCTGCAAACACGGGGTTGTCCTGCAAGAGCGTCTTGTAGCCCAAGTTCTTCTTGACATTCACATGGGCCTCAAAGTCGGCAGGGAGAAGCACCTCGTCAAAGTCGGTGTCGGCCAGGAGCAAAGAGAAGTCCTCGACCAAGTTCAAAAGATGTTCTCCTCGACTGCCTGTTGGCATCTGCTGCCAGTCTTGGTCTGGCCACTTCATGGTCTTGCTGGCGTAGTCCACGGCTAAACCAAGGCGCTCCGGAATAGGGCGCCCAAAGAGAAGGGGCGCGCTGCCACCTATGATGTAGGCCAAGATCTTCATCTTGCGTCCGCCCAAAACCACTGGCAGCAACACGCTCAAATCGGTCACCTCTGTGGCCGACTTGCCATACTTGAAACCCTTGTTGCACTCGTAGACCTCCAACACGTCTAGGTTGTAGCCATTCACCAGCAGATACCTCAGGAAACGCTTCACGTGGAGGAGACTGCCAAGGACAGCTGAAGCACCACCATCCTGAACCGCTGTAGTGCAAAGCTGTGTGTCCTCATCGTTGTCGTCGTGGTCGAGGGCATAGACAAGGGCGTCGCTGTTTTCGGCGTCCGTCACCATCATGACCTCGTCCTCCACGTCAGTCTTTCTCTTCTTGTCTCCTGCTGTGCCCAATGGCCTGCTTGACCACAGCGAAGACAAATCTGTCGGCCCAGCGCTGCTTTGCCCCGCGCCTTGGCTCCTTTCGAAGAGCCAGTTGACACAGGACCTTGCTTTCCACGGCCCTTGGGACTTGAACTTTTGCTCTTGCCCCGCTTGCCACCACTTTTGCCACGCGAGGACGACGAACGAGGCGCAGACGAGGAAGGAGGAGCATTGACCATAGCAACCACGGGATAGAAACCTCTGGTATTGCGCATCTGATTCAATCGCAACTTTGCTTGGGCACAGGCAGCGAATTCGTCGTCGTACTCCTCAACGTCAAAGACCTCGCCAACGCTGCCCTCCTCATCCAGCTCGTCCTCGTAGTACACCTGGTCGGAGTCCACCCATGGTGCTTCCTCATCGTCCTGGTAGTAGGCGGCATCCTCGACATAGGCGGCCTCCTGGTAGAAGACGGCGTCCTTCTTGAAGCCACGGCCTGCCTCAAGCTTTGAGTCCTGTCCCAGGATGAAGTTCATCGCTTTGGACACAGTCTCCAGATTCAGGTTGTCCACCCCCACGTTCGTGAGGATGAGCTGCCGCTGTTCCTTGGACACTCCGCTTCTTCTCAGGAAAAACCACGCACGAACTTTCTCTGGCAAGTCTACATTGTGTGTCCTGCGAAGTCTGCGCTCTGCCCTCAGGTACTCGGCGGTCCACTCCTGAAGCGTCTGGCCACCCTTCCGCTGGAGCTTGATGAAGTAAGCCTCAAAGTCGTCAGGCAACTCAGTCAAAGGATCAAACTTGAAGCCACGATCCAATCTTTCAAAGAGCAGCTTGAAACCATTTGGCTTCTCCATATCCTCCAGGGGAAGATCTTCGACCAAGTCCCAGGCCTTTCCAGTCATCAGCGTCACGAGGTTAAACACCACCTCTTTTCCACGGCCAGCCATATCCATCTTGGCTTTGTAAATGTCTGCCCGCTTGCGGTACTCCTTGTAGTCCCGCTGAACATTGTTGAAGACTGGAACGTAGTTGTCCGCCTTTCCTGTGTAGGCAGTTGGGCCCTCGCTGCCCTGTGCTCCAGGGCTGGCCGCTGGACCGGTTCTCGACATTGCAGCTGCCGCGCGCTCGCCACCGGGCGCCCTTTTGGTATTGGAGTCTCAAGCCCCGCTACCAGGATCAAGAGATCAAGGTAGATCTCACTGCTCAAAGCACACGAAGTCAATGAACACTACAAAGGCGAAAGGCCTTTTCACACTCCTTAGATCCGTGCCGTATAAAGCTCACATGCCCACCCTGTTGAGTGGCAAACGGCCGCAGATAATGCGGCTGATGGAAACTTCTGGGCAGCTGCAGGGTTCAAGTGACTGGCAGTCTCTTTACACCAGCAGCTTCCTCGATAATTTTGACGTCTGGACAGGGGATGTATTCTTTAGGAGGAATTGCAGCCAAGCTTTGGTCTGTCGGCTTTTCAGGAGGGACTGCTGCTTCAGCCGGCGCAGTTGTAGTCACGGGCACGGTCGCACCATCTGTTGGTTCCGCGGAGGCTTCCATGGTTGTCGTAGGTGCAAGCAATTTGCCGCATGTAGCAAGGCGTGACAAATGAAGAACATATGCAACAAAACGACGTGACCAGCCTTGGGTCACAAACGCTGTAAAACATAATGTGAAAACATCCAAGCGTAGCCCTAGGACTTCCCTACAACGTAGGGGCTCCACTAGGGCCGTGGGACAGCTCAGTGCTCGAGCCTGGGGTTGTACCTTATCCAGGCATAATGCCTGGCCCTGTCATTGGTCGGAAGTGACAAGGGTCCGAGACTTGCTCTATTGGGCCCGCGTGGCCAAAGGTGCTGCTACCCAAGAAGGAGCCCCCGCTTTACCGCACATCTTCTTCTCTGGCCTCACACGTGTCTGCACTAGTGCCCCCCTACTCTGCATGCTCACACACTACGGTCAGGCAGCTGCAAAACCCAAGACATCATGGTCCCTGCAAGTACAACAACCTACCCCAAGGTTCAGCACGGCATCTCTCACGTCTCTGCTTTACTACCTCTAAAAACCACCCCCACCTCGCCCCAGTGCACCAACCCGTTGCCCCTGTAGTCGTCACTGTGAGTGTGTTGTCACACGCTGCTCTATATAACACTTGCACTACTGCGGCCAAACCTGTACAGGAGTGCTCGAAGGCAACACATCACGGGTCCCTGCAGGAAAAAAGCAATAGCGAAGGTAGTACACCAGTTTACGTGCAGCATCTCCTGGTAAGGACACTCACTTAACTTCAGCTCTTCCTAAGTTGGCCCTGCCCCCTAAAGCCCCTTACAACGTACTCCCCAAGCAAACTGACACTGCCCCCAAACACACCTATATCATCCCCCTGCACGTGTCCTTATCTGGCGTATTGCACAGTCCAAACAGTGCCTTCCTTGGCATTTCTCTTGGCTTGGCGCTTCGTTTGGCAGACAGGAAAAGTTTTCAGCCCTCCCTTGGCATTTCTCTTGGCTTGGCCGACTTCGGCTGCATTTGGCTGGCAGGAAAACTTTTCAGCCCTCTATGTTGAGCCCCTTGCTTTATAGTACATGGGCAGGAGTCGATGCCGCCACTGCTGCAGGTCGGCAGGCCGGCTGTCCCCAGAAGTCGTAAGGTTAGCGGACATGGGCCCCTTTTGTTAAAATACTTACGTGCACTGAAATTACCTCTGCTCAAAGGACACCCCCGAAATTCTGGACCTCCCAGTGTCGACACTGATGCCCCCGAAGGCCAAGGCAGTCACGCTGTTGCTGTCCTGGTGGTTTTGGTAATCAAGGTGACACCCCCGAGGAGCGACCTTACTATGTTGTCCAACTGAGTACTGTTCTTGAAGGCGCGTAGTCCCTCAACCAGGTAGTACAACTTTATGGCAGAGAAAGGTGAGGCGGGGAAGTTGTGCCACTACTTAGGGGCCTTTGAGTGGTAAACGGCAGCACCGTGTGTGAGGACTCAAGCCCCCCCTCTGAGACTCACGTCCACCCCCAGACCTGCAGGGAAGCCCCCTAGACGTCCAAAGGGCCGGAGTCCAGAGCAAGGTCAAAATGACCCCGCGGCGGAGACTTGAGCCAAAATGGCTACAGCTCTCTCTCGCTCTCTCTCTCGCTCCCTCTCTCTCTCTCTCTCTCTCTCTCTCCCTCTCCCTCTCGCTCACAAACTGCACTACTTTGAGAATCCAGGGATGATATTCGTTTGCTGCAATGGGTTCGAGATCAATGGTGGCCCTGATAGCTTCTCGAAGTCTAACTGGACAAGGCAAGCACTTGTCACAAGGATTGCTCACTGCACTGGAATGATGCATACGGATATACGTTTTGTCTCTTAGGCGCTGGCCACAAACTGTCTAAACCAGGTCCACCAGGAAATTTGGAATTGCTGGTCCACATTCTAAGCTGATCGGTTGGGACCCAAAGTATTTTGGGACTTAAGAGAAGGCTTCTCTCTTGCGTGGCTTTGATTTCAAACTGACCATCTTAGAGGTGAACGCTTCACAACGTGCCCGAACCAATTCGCCAGCATGCGTGCTTGCTCGCTGGCCTATCACTCGCTGCTATCACTCTCTCTTCGCTGCTGTCGCCTCTGCTAGTGCTTGTTCTACTTCAACTACTACTTCTTCTGCAGGTCTTGACTTTGCAACTGTGTGCAACTGGCATCATTTCACCGATGTGCCTGCCACCGCTGCCGGCGTGAACAGCTTCAGTGTACTTCCACTCCTCCACCGAGTCAGCACGTGAATAGGAGGAGCCCTCGACTGGAAATGATGTCCTTTCTTATCAATATCCCTCTTCCGCTAAACATTCCTGCAAGAATGTCTACCAACTAGAAAAAATGAGCAGTCGGAGCCCTTCAACCTTCAGGAGAAACCTAAGCTCCTCACCGACACAGCGCAGATTTAGGGTCTCTGGCGACCATTGAGTTTCGGAACCTAAGAACCCAATATCAAAACGCAAAACCTGGCCAAGTTGAAGTCTCATGGCCGCATGGTTCGATGGTCGGGATTTATTTTGTGCGCACTGCATCCTAGAAAACCACATGGATTGAGCCTCAACGGACCAAACTTGAAGCTTCGACCGAAATGTTGTGAAGAAGCTCCATGCATCACGATAAGCATGAGAAGACTTCTCGGAAACGCACCGTGCCAGGGATATGGTAAGGTTGCAAATTTTCGACACTTGAACAGGCGGGCATGCAGCTATGATAATGCTTTCTCACGGGATCCACTCTGTTCCCTTCCCAACATGCAAAACCCTGGGCATGAGAATCCCAAGCTCGGCACCTGAGACGCAACCATTTGTGTACTCTGACCATTTTCGAGCTGCCTCTTCCATCCCAACAAACATCATCGAAGGACCTGGGCATACTCCGCAAAAGCGCAGAAATGCTTGAAACCTATGCTTCAAGCCCAGACTAGCTGTCGTCACATGTCTGGAGGCTTGGAATTCCGCGGCAGGTCGTGCATCGTCACAACATGATCTTGAAATTGTCAGAAGCCCTGCAGCCAAATGCCACGGTGAGACACCGGCCACGTATCTAAGAACAAAGCGTGCAGCATCGGCGTGGTGTAAGAGGAGGAAGAGCATCGACATCCTTGCAGCAAATGCAAACGGGCCAGGTGCGTGTGAAGGGAAACTCACACGAGCATCCATATCTATTCAGTACTTAGGTGTTCGTCGCAACCGTTTACAAAACACCGAACTCGTCTTCTGCTGGCGAGAAACTTGTCAAGCCCCTGCAAGCACCTGGAGTGCCAAAACAATTGACGGTTAACCATGACAGTAACGTTCGCTTGACAGATCTTAACGCTTGCGATTGCCTCACGTCAGGCATCTGGCTTCGAATTCAGGCAACGGAAAATGGAAGACTTGTAAGACTTCGACTATCTGGCACTCATATGCCTGCAGGATGACATGACACGCAAGCTTACAAGCATGCAGGCTGCAGGGAAAATGCCCAGGATGTCACGGAAACAGTAATGCTCTCCGTCTAACGAGGAGCCGGATGTGTCATCTGCTTATCATGTCCACAAATCATGGCTGAAACAACAGAAAATTGGAAAGGATCTACTTGTGCAAAAACATGTTGCCTGCAACCATGGTGTGAGCAGAAAACGGGAAGCGGGGTTTCGAATGCTTTTGGATAGCCTCCCACAATGGGTGGTGGTTGTCAAGCAAGGACGTTGCAGCGTGCTTGCCATGTGCGGTCATGGGACATTGTCGAGAAGAAGAAACAATCGATGCAAAAACAATTTGGATGTCACTCGCACGTACAACCAACATTGGGCATTTGTATGGAATCCAAAGGAGCTTTGTATTCGTGTAGTCATGCCTATGAGTAACTTAAGCAAATAAACCAGTTGCCGTCAGTTCATAGTTTTACACATAACCGAATACGTCCTCGGCAGTCATTGACGCCCATACTGTACAAACTTTGCGTTCTGAAAACGTCCTCCATCTCTTACAAGGTTCAAATTTGGGTGAGGGATACAAACAACAGCACGAGGGTTTCAAAAGTGGCCTCAGTCCACAACCAACATGCATGAACCCACCCGCACCCCAAATTCACAAGTTTCTGCGCAGAAAGGTTATTGAATCTTCGTTTGCTCTAAGAATCCACTCGCATTGGAAGCAGCGTCGCTGACACCAGTTCGGCTGCAAAAGTTCGGCGCTTCCTTTGCTGCGACTGCTTTTTGTGCGACGTACAAAAAGTCAGAACTGCTTGGGAAGTAGTTCGCGCGACGTAAACAAGGAAAGAGGATGAGGTAGTCTACTTTTCGGGACCTTTGTCAAACCAAGCTTTGCAAAAAGTGACTTCGTCCTTGTGTTTCTCTATCAAATCCGAGACCTGGCTATGGAAAGTTTATGCGTCATGACAAGTCCCTCTCAACTTTACAGCATATCCAGCATCAACCACCTTCGAAACTGCTTCGCCGTGCTCATGTCGTGTCAGGGGGACAATCTTTGCACACACACCTTTCGAAGCAGGTCTTGAACAAGTAGCGTGTCCACTAACTTGCTATCAACCAAAACGAAACAAGCTTGCTTTCCGTGGTCGACCTCGACGTGGTACCTTGGCGTCAACTACTCCACACCAGCTAGAAGGATTGAAGCAACGAAGCGGTAAAGGCAAGCACGACGATGCAACGACGGCCGATCCACCGACAGCGATCGGACCGCAGTGGGCGAACACACACAGCCAAAGGGTCGCAGAACGCAGCCTGCAACATCAACCGAAGTGCATGACACAACCTGCTACAACAACACTGTACATTACTGTACCTGGCTTGTTGTCAGGAAGACATGGGTCGCGCGCGACCTTCGAAGCCTGATGGAGGTGCAGCGGCGTGGGCAGTGGTGAGGTACGAGAAGAGCGTCCGCCTCGCAAAAACATGGGAGAGCCTGAGTCAGCCGCTGCGGCTCCACGCGCAGCTTTGCGAGCGAAACCTTGGGGCAATTCTGCTGGGCCGCTTCGCGGCATCCGCTGAAAGCGCTATGTGATGGATCTCTTCTCAGGAGAGGGAGGAGTGACCAAGCTGTGAATCGGCTTGGCTACCAGGCAAAATTTTGGGACATCAAGCACGGGCCAAATCATGACATCACCAACCCCCAGGTCCTGCGCCGCATCCTCTCGGAAATCCGACCGACCTGGGCTCATGATGACCCAACAGGTCTTCTTCATGAACTGCTCTCATGATGCTTGCAGTTCTCGTCCAGTATGCGCGGCTTCATCCTTCAGCATGCTATGAACATGCCAAACGCTGATCGAGAGTTCATCCGCTATGAAGATGAGTGCACTGGCGAAGTCTGTTAATTTTCCTAGGAGCCGCTGAGACGCAGAAACAAATTCCATAGCTTGAAAGTGTTTTACTACTTGGACTTTTGCGTTGATGCCGTGCCATATCAGCAGCAGTGCTAGACATTGCCAGCCTGTTTGAGAAAACAGAGACTGACAAATTGACGTCTGAAGCCTAAGTCTCAACGCGTCCTCGGCAAAGTGCTTTGGTTTAAGCTCTGATTCTGATATTCGTTTTGATCAGTACGCCTGAGTCGGATTCAGGTACCAGAAAGTGCTTTGCGCGCGCTTTGCTTCTTGTGCCATGATACGCATGTCGTGTTGCGCCTATCTTCGCCTAAATCGAGAGTTTTTGCTGTGTAACACTGACTTGTTGTGTAGCATTGAAGAGTCATGGTGCAAAGTTCAAGTATTTGCTAATGCGTCACAAGCACCATACAAGTTCCTGGGAAGGCGTAGCGTCATAGGTGGCGCCATTTAGTTCGCAGGAAGTTCTGGGGTTGGTCCGGCTTCCTTGGTTGGTGAGATCCCCTTTGGCTTGTGACAGCATCTCCACACGCATCCGTCTGGAGGGCGGCGCCTCTGTAAGGGAGAAAGGGCTGGTGAGCCTTGGTGTCACCAGCTCCTTTGCCAGATCCCTGGTTATTGGCGCGCGAGCGAGTTGCTGACGCTGTCACCTTGTGGGGCGGAACGAGACGAGCTGCACGAGGTTTCGCCTTTGCTTTGCCGCTGCCGGTGGCAGCAGTACATGGGTCAGGGTCTTTAAAAGTTTTACGGCGAAATTTCAATTCAAATTCTCAACCCTTTAACCACACAGCTCGCACTCTTGTTCACAACGGCCGGTAGGATTCTACTGTTCTGTCCTATCCTACCTTTGAGCCTGCGAAGCAACGCAGTGGTGGTGAAACCACAATGTTTGTTACGCCCTCACCAGACTTTCCCGAATTGTTCGGAATGTCTGGTCTTTTTCAAACATTTTCAAATGGCCGGCCCATGAGTTTGCCATTTCTCCGTTCTCTCACTTCTTAAAACAACTTTCAAACACATGAGGGTCTTTGTGAAACACGATGCAAAATGTGTGAAACTTCGGTGAGAATTACAGCTGTGTGGCCGATGCCTAGCTCACTCACACTTTTCAATCATCTTCTTTGCGATTTTCCAAGTGTCTTGTTGCATACGCCCTCATGGCTCTTCGGCCCATTGGATATCGGGTTTGATCCCAACATCCCTTCAGCGAATTTTCAAGCTCACCTCATGTATTTTCGACAACTAGTCTTCTTCACAATGGTTCACTCTCATTCTCCGGTCTCCTCATCCTTTTCGCTCCAGATAGGCGATTCACTTCCTTTCCTTTTTTTCCTTCTTGGCTTTCTTTTCCTCCTTCTTTGCCTTCTTTTGCTCTGCCTTCTTCTTCTCTTTCTTCTCCTTCTTTTCAAAACAAAGTTGCCGATCCTTTAGCTCTTGCGCCACTTCCCAGAGAGCCTTTTCGTCCATCATCTTCTTTTTCGCTATTTTTTCTCGCTCCTTCCTCTTCTCTGGGAAGTCCAGGAAATTTCCGGAGACTTCTTTAGCTCCTTACCGAGCTTCTTGCCTGCTGCCTTTGCTATCTCTTTTGCCTTCTTCCTTTCCATCTTTTTCTTCGCCTCTTCATTTGCTTCAGCAATCATTTCCTCTAGTTCGTCGCCATTGTCTTCTTCGACTCGCCCTTCCAGTTCTCCACTTTTTCTCTTCCTTGTGGTTTCCTCTGAGGCCTTGAACCTTTTCTTCGCTGCCTCATCCTTCCAGTTCTTTTCCTTCTCTCCACTTTCTGGCTTGTCCTTTGGCGACACATTCCAACATTCGCTTTCCGCATGCGATGTCCATCCGCCCTTGCTCGTGACTTTGGGGCATATGGTCGCGTGGGTTCCACCTTGCAATCCTTTTCCAATTTGCGCGCATTTTCCGCACCAACGATTCCATGTGAGGCTGTGCCCTAAGCCTCCTTGGGCTGCGATGGCTTCAGCAATCATTCTTTTGCACATCATGGCCTTGTGGCTTTCATCCACTTTTCATCGTCGGCATCTGGTTCCCTGTGGCATACCTGTAGGATCTCGGCCCTTTCCAGGTCTCTTTACCACTTTCTTTTCTTCAACATACTTCTTTTTCAGGAACTCCGGTGCTGCTTTCGGTTGGGCTGACCTCTTTTCCATCTCCTTCTCTTCGGGCCTTTTCCCCTTTTTCGGAAAGCCTTCTCCTTTGGTCTTGGCATAGCTTTGACCTTTGGCTTTTCTTCGCTTTTCGCCTTCTCGCCAAGGATTGCTTCCTCTCTCACTCTGTCGATCAGGGCTTTCCTTCGCTTGTCTCGATCATCATCGCTCTCGCCCTTTTCGCTTGGCACTGGCGTGTTTGGCCCTGGTGTGCTTTCGCCATCTTCCGTTTTCTCCTGCAACTTCTTCTTCAAACTTACCAAGCACAGACCGACTTTCTTGCAGTTCTTGATCTGCTTGTCAATGTCAGCCAGGCCTTCCTCGAGTTCATTCGTTTCCTCTCTGCACTTATCATAGGCCTGCTGGATGCCTTTCAACTGTTTTCCAAGCTTTTCCATCTGGCCTTTGCATTCATTGGCCTGTTCTTCATAGACCCTTGCTGAGTCTTGGTCTTCGTCGAAACTTTTCGCAACATCAACTCTCTGGTCTTCCCTCCTGGACGACCATTTCTTCACAATCATCAACTTCGCATCCTGCCTCGGCGTGCGCTGTCGAAATCAAACTTACGATCTCTCCGATCGTGTGGATGATCCCCTTGTCCATTCCATTTTGGATGCTTCTCAACAGTTGCTTTCCAACTGTTATCAACGTGCCGAAGGCTCCTGCCACGCTGCTGGACGGGGCTTCTTGCTCTTCTTCCTCCTCTTCTTTACCAACTTCCTTCTCTGAGCTGCTGTCTTCACTGCTGCTGCTGCTTTTGCTGCTCGGCTCAGTCGAGCTTCCTTCTTCGCTGCTGCTCTCGGCTTCCTTTTCTTTTCCATCTTCTTTGGCCGGTTCTTCTTCCTTTTTCGA